ATATCGTTTCTAAATACTTGTTTTTTTCCTCATCAAAAATCTAATGTGCTTGTTAAGCGTTTTCTCGGCATATTTTTGACTTCCAAATTATTTGAAGCATCTTTTAATTATTTTGTGCCTTATAAAAAAAAATAACGTATGGAATTCTGTATGTTAAATACTAATTATAATTATAATTATAATGTATTTCTTATCATCATTCAACTTGGAAAATTTTTTTAAGCGGCTTAGCCAGGCTAAATTAATTAGACGATAAAGAAAATTTTCTCTTTAGTGTAGAATTAGAATGACAAAAGAAAAAACATCGTTTGCTCAAAAAAATAAATAAATACAATATTCGTAGCAGGATAAAATATCATAATAAAGAAAGCAATAATAATCAAATAATAATAATGGTGGCGAGTTAGGAGATATAATTGGATTTAAACCATCTCTACTACTATGACATAAAAAGTTTAAATTTATATTTAACTTCACTGAATAAATTTAATGATGAACTTTTTCTATCAATTAGTGTTGGCCGCCAAAACTATTTCGAAGAGGCGAAAGTCAAATCTAAAATTAAAAGTTATATGTCAAATCTAAATCAAGAGTCAATAGTCAAAAAATCAAAACTAGTTTCGACTTTCGCACGGTTGCGAAACTCTCTAGTTTTGGAAACCAACACTAGTATCAATCCAACTTGCAAAAAGCAAAGTGAGTTCTGAACATCTTGATGATGATGATGATGATGATTTTACCATATTACTAGCATGTCTTTTAGATTGATAATGCAATTTTTTTTCAATGTTATATCGTTCCTAGAGATAATTAGCTATAATATTTGAAATACATCTTGGCTGTCAATTGGTAGTGGATTGGTACAATTTGGAATTGTGGGGTTTGTATTAATGAAAATATTGCCAGATGGATTTCCATCTGGTCTAATTGTAAATAAAAAAGATTAATTAGTCGAAGGAGGCCTGTAAAAATGTTGAGAAGGAAAATGTCTTTGTAAGGGTTGAACTAGTACTAGTGATTGTATCCGCCGAATGATATTCACCGATTATTCATCGATTATCCGGTTAATCGAAATTTTCGCCGGATAATCAACGGTTCCAACCACTAGGTCGAACTGATATCGAATTTTGTTTTGGGCTAATATCATTACCATTGCTTTAGCATAGAAAATCAAAGGGAAAAACAGAAGAGCTTTTTGGAATAATGATTTTTTTTTGATGATGTTTAACATTGTCGTTAAAATAATAATTATTTTCTGAAAGGGTGACAGAATTCTTATTCACTTTTAATCATTAAAGAATTTTATTGATTTTTTTTAAAAAAAATTAACAGTTTAAATCAAATAAACAATAATTGCTAATAATAAAGCTGCAAATAGTGACATATTCTTAACCAAACTAAAGAAAGGAAAGGAATTTTAGTTAGATAACGTGGAATCTCGAACTCGAAAAATAAAAAAATCACACACATGTACTTTCACACTTACAATTTATCATTGTTTACCGGTTTACAAAATAGTTTTGTTTTTTTGCGGAGCGCAATACCAACATTTTCCCATTCGAGCACCTTGTGATGTTCCTCTGTCAACCCTTCAATAATTTTGCCTTTACTTGTTACTCGTAAAGTCTTTAATTCTTTCTCCTGTTCTTCGCCTGATAATAATTGTTCAATAAATTCAACCGATCGTTTCAAGGATACGTTTGCTAATATACTAAACTCGAATAACTATTTTTAAAAATACCATTATTATTACTATTATTATACATATTATTAATATTATTCATCATCGCATATTTAGGATCATAACCAGGACCAAAAGAATTGATATTATCAAAGCCGTTGAATTGAGAAGTGGTTGGCATTTTTTGTTGTAGATGATTATTGTATTGATACTCATCATCTTCGACTATTTTGAAATTGTCGTACATCATTGACATTTTAACATTGGAATCTAGTGTGTTTGATCTAAGTGTACTAGAATCTGAAGAATTCATTACGATAGTATTTGAATCCATGGTGCTTGATCTAATTGTGTTATTATTGGAGTACATAGTATATGTTCTACCGTCATTGTTGTTGTCGTTGATGTTGCTGTTATAGTCAATATTAGAAGAATCCATAGAAAATGTCCTAGGATCATCATCATTATTAGTAATATAGTTTTTATTGTTGTTGTTAATGTTATTGTTATTATTTACAATTTTCATTCTTTGTAATGAAGATGCAATTGTAGAACCAATTGAGGAACGATCAGAAGAAAAATGAGGGGGGAGTTGCTTTGATGATTGTAATTTCTGATACAATAATAATTGTTGTTGTTGTTGTTGTTGTTTATTTAATAATTGTTTTTGTTGGAATAATGATTTTTGTTGTTGAATATAAATAATATTTTCATTATATAGTTTATCATTATATATGTAATCATTATTATTGTTGTTATCATCAATAGTATTGTTATACGCAAATGATGCTATCATCGGATCAGTCGGAGAAGAAGAATCTATAATTGATTCGTCGTTATAATTAACATAATTATCATTAACATTATAAACATCGTCACCACCTCCATCAACAACGTAATTATTATTATTAACTTCTTGGTTTTCGTTAATGATTTGATCTAATGTTTGCAAAGGATTTGGCCTTAAAACATTAAATTTTATAAGAAAAGGACAGTTGATCTTGGAATATCGTGGTGAGGTGATAAC